AATAAAAAGGGAGGGTCCAACGTCCTGACCCAACCCTCGGATCCGCAACTGTGTTCTCATAGCAATAAATTCACACACGCGACGAATTCAGTTTGTTTGGGTGAGAGTTTATTTTAAATATCGGTTTGCGGAAATTGTGCCAGTTTGTCAGGATGTGAAATATATATAATTACGGGATTAACGGGGGACTTCAAATACAAGAGACACCGTACCGGCTGTCTTTCGGAAATGTCTAGAATAGAGAAAAATTCACTCGACACTGATCGGTACCGGTTATTATAATCATATAAACTACTTAGTCTATGCACAAATTATGACGATTCTTCAGTATGTTTACCATTTAATGTAGCGTAAAATCAGGACCAGTTTCAACCTCGCATTTTTTCCACAGACTGATATGGCGAGACAGCAGGATTTGTAATATGCCCGAGAATGCGCCACAGGAAAATCCCGTGCTACAAATTGGCAGGAAAATTTTACGTGTGCAAAGGAGTTGGGACCGTTCAGCGATATTTGATCATATTCACTGGTGTTAAACTGATAATCGTAACTGGAATTACGACGATCCAAATATGGCGACGGCAGAAATCTTTTCAGTCATTTTTCTCAAATGTAGCCCGTTGTTGTCAAGAGTTACTCAGCTGCAAGGTTTTTCTATACCATTACATCATATTTGAATCGTAACGGTGCACTATAATTGTCTAAGCGCTTAGAAAATTGCCGTCGAAAAATTCGGGATGATAATCGTAACTCGCAAAAATGATAATCGTAATTTCGGTATTAATAAATAAGAATATAATCGTGACTGGATAGTGTTTGATTGGTATTGACACGAAAAAACGTCTATCTAATAGCATATGATGAAAATATGATGATGAATTAATCACGAAAACGTTCCCACATCTTATGACATTTCTTTTTGTGCATATATGATTAACAGTTCTAATGTAAACAGCTACATACTAGTATATATCATAAAATTGGAAGGGGGACCAGCTTCAATAAATTTGTAAATGGGGAAACACGAACTATGTTAAAATACTGAAAACTCCAGGAGCTAGGACCGTCACAAAATATGGGAGAAAATTTTAAAAAATGTCATCATGATCTCTTCATGTTTAGAGTTAAAAAGAAATATTGTTTGGTATTCTATTTAAATACGGACTTGAAAACAAATGTCACACCTCTTTGAATGTGTAAAAAGTTGTATAGCCCATAAATACAATAAAAATGATAAGCTACTTCATGACCGTCACTGATATTTCGATATCTCAGAAAATAACTAAAAATTTTAACAACACCAATTTAGTTTGGCATTCTAATAATATTACATCCTTAAAACGTTTAATGATAATATAAGAGTAGAGAAAAGTTGGAATGCTTTGTGTGTTATGGAGTTAAGCACATGTTGACGTGGATTTCATTGGCAAACATGGATTTGTGTTCTTTAATAGTTTGGCCAAAAGCCCGAAGATCAAGCAATCAAATTCATGTTGCCTTAAATTACCTTACAAGCTATATTTATTCAAAGAATGACTGCAACTTTTAGAAATCATAGCGCATATTCCGCCATATCAGAAACAAACTGATTCAAGAAATCATGAATACTTGGTATATGAAAAATATGCTGCATACATATGCATGGAAGTTATTGTAGAGAAAAAAAATTGAAGGTAACAAAGAACATTTTTGTACTTGCATAATTACCATATATATACTTAGTACTTTTCTATCAAATGAAAACAAAAATTAGCCTTTCATAATTGTCATGCATTTTTCTGAAGCACAAAATATTTGTTTGATTATCTATTAAAGTCTTTGTAATTTAACTAGTTTCGACCGTGATAATCTACATATATGCCTTCTGAGGACCAATACACATATATATATATAATATGTATTTGTGGTTTTTTTTTCAGTCCTTCAAATGCTTCGCAAGACTATACGCGCCATTTAGCTAAGGCTAATAAAAACAATAAACACAAGTAAAAATAAACACAAGTAACAATAAACAATAGTAACAATAAACACAAGGAACAATAAACACAAGTAACAATAAACAATAGTAACAACAAACACAAGGAACAATAAACACAAGGAACAATAAACACAAGTAACAATAAACACAAGTAACAATAAACAATAGTAACAATAAACTTGTAACTATTCTAGATCCTTTACCATCCACCCTGTTTAAAGAAACGTCCTAAAAAAAATGGGTATTTAATCAAAATATTTGAATTTAATTTTTAAAATCATATAAAATATCAGTGTAAAACAGAACAAAAGTGTATTCACTTGAAAAATATGAACGGCTATTTTAACCGGGATACATTTCACTCCAAAATTAAACTATATGTATTTCTATTGAAATATAAGGAAAAGGTCAAAATAAAAACTCATATCCACTTATCAAAGTATCAACTGTTAAATCCAATAATGCAGTTAAGTAACTAATGGAAAATCTTGTTCATTTCTCGCAGAAATTTAGTATAAACGTTCAGTTTATAGCTCCCCCCTTTCCCGTTTACATAATTTGTGGACCCATCCCCGAATATAAACAACAGGGAACTCAAAACTGACAGCGTTCTTATGATAAATGAGGTCTGTCAAAGGCACGGGGGAAGGGGTGGTGTCACTTCAGGCGTGCTGCTGAAATTAAAAAAAAATATCCCCTTTCATATATTGCCGAAGACCAAAAATCTGATCCATGGTATAAATTATATATTTATATAGGAAGTAACCCACAGCCACCCCCGTGGTGTAGGGAATATTGAGATAGGGGAGGTTAACTTGCCCTTTTTATTGATTTAAAAGTCGATTGGATATATGCAATATTTGAGGCAAAACATATGGCATATTGAAATGTGGTATACGGGACTTTCGTTTGAAAGGATTGCACTTTTGGAATATTGGATAATGCTAATACCCCCCCCCCCGCCTTCCGCACTTCCAAAAAAAAACCTAAACGCGAAAACAACATTGAAACTTTGAAAGAATTTAAACTATCTATTTACCACAATAACTGAATCGACTGCTGCTTCATTTTCCATATCTTTAACAGGTACATGTATATATTAAAAGGTTATGCATATTGTTGTCAGTTATAAATCGAGATATATATACATGTAAGTAAATTTGTCCTAAATATTAACCTGTAAGTTGCTTCATTATTTTTTTATTTTGCGCGTTAATGTCATCGTTTAACTGGACATTGCCGTTTTTACACACAAAATACCATTGACAAGCTGGAAGACACATTTATTATTTTTCAGTTACTATTATCCCATAAAGAAATTACGATTATCAAACAAGAAAAATGCCATCGAATTAAGATTATCATTCCGAATTTTTCGACGACAATTTTCTAAGCGCTTAGACAATTATAGTGCACCGTTACGATTCAAATATGATGTAATGGTATAGAAAAACCTTGCAGCTGAGTAACTCTTGACAACAACGGGCTACATTTGAGAAAAATGACTGAAAAGATTTTACCTATTTCTGCCGTCGCCATATTGGGATCGTCGTAATTCCAGTTACGATTATCAGTTTAACACCAGTGATATTTACCAGATCTAAATATCGAACACACCCTGCCATTATGATTAATCACCTTGTTGGTTAAACTAACAACCAGTGCTATTAAAATAATGCATGATTTTAACCAATTTTTTTCTTTTCTGTTTTTCTGGGTTTTTTTTGTCAGCCCGCAATAGGAGGCAACTGCCTACATGCCTCCATGAAATTTACGGCCCTGTTAGTTACGCAGAAACCGTCTATACTTTTGTCAATAAAAACAATTTTTTAATTTTTTAATTTACACTTAGCTCACCATTTGTTTCCGTGACGTATTTTGGATAAACGTGAATTGATTTTTTCGAGTTGAAGAACCGTGAATAAACATGTATTATAAGAATAAAGAGATATGGTAGGATTGCCAATGAGACTACTATCCGACATCGACAAAAAGACGTGGATGTAAGCAACTATATGTAACCGTACAGACTTCAACAATGAGCAAAACCCATTCCATAAAGTAAGCTACAAAAGGCCCCAACATTACAAAATGTAAACAATTTAATCGAGAACACAAACGGCCTGATTAGTTATAAAACAACAACATATGATTAAAGTCTAAACTTGGGACATATACACATACAGTATGTGGCGGGGTTAAACATGTTTGCGGGAGCTCATGCAACCCCACCGTGACTTAACCTTGGCCCTAGTGTAACCGCACAACATAAGAACAAGCTGTAAATTAACATCATTTGGGAAGGGCTTGGCTCATCAGATGTACGAGACATAGAAAAATATACTTGTTCAAAGTTAGATAACAAAATTACAATTCATCTTTTGATTAAATTATACTCCTGAATATCTTACAAATTGCAAAAGGCAAACAAAAAAATAATCGACAAGTTAAATGTAAAAAAAAAGGACTTTAACTGGAAATTTATACTGATAAAATCTGGAATTATGACACATTCAATCTTTTTACTTTTGAATTAATGAAATTACGACTTTTTAATTCGAGATTTTGGATTTTAAATTGAGACAAAATCGACAGTTATTATTATCATATTATCATTATTGTTATCTGAGACTACTATAACTCAAATATTGTCACAGTTTTACAGTAGTCTCAGTTATTTAGTACCAAGGATTTATATATATTATATAAATTCTCCTTATTATTATTATTATTTTATTATTATTATTATTTATTATTATTCATGATTATTATTATTATTATTATTATTATTATTATTATTATTATTATTATTATTATTATTATTATTATTATTATTTATTATTATTATTATTATTATTAAATGATAGTATCATTTAAATATTATATAAGAAAAGAGTCTTTTTTTTTCAATTTTCTCTATAAAAATTCATCTGTTATCAAAACTACGTGGCGACTGTACAAAGGGTCGACATCATAAGCATATAGGTTGTCTCCCTTAATTGTGACACACAACATCCGACAAATGAGAAAATGATGTTGGAAATCCTGTCCTGCTGTTATTAAACCTTTTTGACATTGTCATGAAAAAATTCTTAGTGAATTAAAACAACAGACCAATTTCTAATAATCTGATATGACATAAGAAACGATATAATTGTCTTTGAGGTCATAAAGAGTAAAATTTCCGTAATATACAACTCTTGGTGTGTTTATGTATCATGTCCTAAAATAACCTATTTGTTCTCCATTTAGTTTTATGTGCAGACAGAAACATAATTTATATATTTCATAAAAAAATAACCTACAAGGCTTGACATGGCTTCCCCGCTAAAAGACCAAACTGTGGCTAAGAAGCTGGTAGAGAACTTGCAGACTGATTTAAGAGGACTCTCTGCAGAGGCAAAGAAGAAACACCCAAATATCAAAGAGGTACTCATATACAACTCAATAACTTTTGTGAAAATGTCATGCCTTTCTATCCCCTATGAAAAGAATTAGCTTTCCTAGTTCAGAGCAAGAGATGCATATAGTATCTGAGATTGGCAACGAATTGTAACTGCAACAGTGCTCTAGCTAGAAACTGAGGACAGGGGGCACAGTCCTGTAAAAATGATGCAAGACGTTGTGGCCACACTGGTAGTTTGGACATAGTCGTTTTGCCCACAGTCGTTTCTGGTATACTGTCAGTTCTGCCATACTTTGTTGATAGCGTTTCTGCCTTGGTTTTTATACGACCGCAAAAAAATTTTGTGGTCGTATATTGGTATGACATTGGCGTCGTCATCGTCGTCGTCGTCGTCGTCGTCGTCGTCCGGCGTCGTCGTCGTCGTCCAGCGTCGTCGTCCGAATACATATTGGTTTTCGCACTCTAACTTTAGTTTAAGTGAATGGATCTTTTTGAAATTTGACCATAAGGTTAAATACCACAAAAGGAAGGTTGGGATTGATTTTGGGGGTTATGGTACCAACAGTTAAAGAATTAGGGGCCAAAAAGGGGCCAAAAATGAGCATTTTCTAGTTTCCAGACAATAACTGTGGAACGGTGTATGGATCTCTCTGAAATTATACTACAAGTTTCCATACCACAAAGGGATGGTTAGGATTTGCTTTGGGGGGTTATGGCTCAAACTGTTTAGGAATTAGGGGCAAAAAAGGGGGAAAACAAGGTTGTCCTGGTTAATGGACAAATACTTTAGTACAAAACATAATTTAAAGCAGTGTAAGGGAGATAAATCAAATACATCATTGAAATTATCTCCCTTACACTGCTTTTAAATTATGTATAAAGTAATGGTTAATGAACAATAAAGATAATTTAAAACAGTGTAAGGGAGGTAATCCAAATACAACGTTTTGGTTACTTCCCTTACACTGCTTTTAAATTATGTTTAAAGAAATGCATATTTATAAAGGAAGACCAGTAAAAATATCTGCAAATGTTTTCATCTTTTTTTTTTACAAAAAAATCCATATGAAAGATTTGACACTATATTTTTATTAATTCTATTATAAAATAGATTAAGTTAGCACTATGGTAAATTTAAATGGGTAATTATGGTTGCCAACTCCATTGGAAATTTGAATTGAGATTATGACCATATCTTGAGGGAAAGAATTTTTTTGGGGGAAAAAGGGGGGGGGGGGATAAAAAGAAATTGTGGGGGGCCAATTTTTTCTCGTTTCAGATTTCAGAAATTAAAAAGAATTATTCTTCAAATATTTTTTTTTTTTCAAATTTCAAATATTGAAAAATTTCAAGAAGTAATCTTTAATTGCACAGTATGGCGCATTAGATTTGTAAAATCTTTGATCACATTTATTTATTTGTTATGCCGAATCTAACAGTGTATTTAGATTTTTAATTTTGGGTCCAGTTTTCAAATTGGTCTACATTAATGTCCAAAGGGTCCAAAATTAAACTTTGTTTGATTTTAGCAAAAATTGAATATATGAGGTTCTTTGATATGCTGAATCTAAACATGTATTTAGATTTTTGATTTTTGGCCCAGTTTTCAAGTTGGTCCAAATTGGGGTCCAAAATTAAACTTTGTTTGATTTCAACAAAAATTGAATATATGGGGTTCTTTGATATGCTGAATCTAACCATGTATTTAGATTTTTTATTTGTGGACCCCGTTATCTAATTGGTTCATATTGAGGTCAAAAGGGTCCAAAATTAAACTTTGTTTGATTTCATCTAAAATTGAATTATTGGGGTTCTTTGATATTCCAAATCTAACCGTGTATTTAGGTTTTTAATTTTGGGTCCTGTTTTTTAAATTGGTCTACATTGAGGTCCAAAGGGTCCAAAATTAAACTTAGTTTGATTTTGACAAAAATTGAATTCTTGGGGTTCTTTGATTTGCTGAATCTAAACATGTGTTTAGATTTTTGATTATGGGCCCAGTTTTCAAGTTGGTCCAAGATAGGGTCCAGTATTTAAACTTTGTTTGATTTCAACAAAAATTGAATATATGGGGTTCTTTGATATGCTGAATCTAAACATGTATTTAGATTTTTGATTATGGGCCAAGTTTTCAAGTTGGTCCAAATTGGGGTCCAAAATTAAACTTTGTTTGATTTCAACAAAAATTGAATATATGGTGTTCTTTGATATGCTGAATCTAACCATGAATTTAGATTTTTTATTTGTGGGCCCCGCTATCAAATTGGTTCATATTGAGGTCAAAAGGGTCCAAAATTAAACTTTGTTTGATTTCATCAAAAATTGAATTATTGGGGTTCTTTGATATTCCAAATCTAACCGTGTATTTAGATTTTTAAGTCCCGTTTTTTAAATTGGTCTACATTAAGGTCCAAAGGGTCCAAAATTAAACTTAGTTTGATTTTAGCAAAAATTGAATTCTTGGGGTTCTTTGATATGCTGAATCTAAACATGTGTTTAGATTTTTGATTATGGACCAAGTTTTCAAGTTTGTCCAAGTTGGGGTCCAAAATTAAACTTTGTTTGATTTTAACAAAAATTGAATATATGGGGTTCTTTGATATGCTGAATCTAACCATGTATTTTGATTTTGGACATTGGACCATAATAGGTAAATTAAAAAAATTCAAGTTCTTAGACCACATTCTTTCTGTGTCAGAAACCTATGCTGTGTCAAATATTTAATAACAATCCAAATTCAGAGCTGTATCAAGCTTGAATGTTGTGTCCATACTTGCCCCAACTGTTCAGGGTTCGACCTCTGCGGTCGTATCAAGCTGCGCCCCAGCGAAGCATTTTATTATTGTTATAAAGGGATGACAATATAATTGTTTTTAACAGCAGACTTTTAAGAAACAAATGGACAAATTTGTTAATTGTTAATCATCATTTCTTTGATATCTAAAGTATAAATTATGCTTTTGTCAAGTAGTTGTTCAAAAAACACCAAACAAGATAACTATAAAACAGCAGGACTCAAGCTGATACAAACTTGCTGTTGGTGAATATATATTCTTATAACAATACAAGCTGCTTGAGTAGCCCTTTGAAGTACCAACCTTGCAGCATTAATGGAACCCAAAATGCATGATTCAATCTGAGACTACTATAACACAGAGATTGGTCACTTCCCGTACTGACCAGTCAAATAGTAATTAATTGTAAGTCTTCGATCACGTGACTCGCAATGATTGACAAGAAGGATTCGACCGCCATTTTTGACAGCGAAAGAGAAAATAATAACAAATGTGGATTTATAAAGAGTGTTATGTTCCGGTAAGTGTGAATATAAGATTTGACATGTTCATAAATGTTGGTTTATAAGCACTTTAAATAAAATAAGTGCAGTTATAGACTTAAATTTACCGACCAAACCGGAAGGTAACCTCGAGTTATTACCAGTCCGTGGGACAGGGTCAATGAGCAACTCACCCATAACTTACATTCAGATGAACAATCTGTTTTCCGGATAATGTATGTGCAAGCCTTAGTAATTAACCGATGTAATTATGTAAAATTTGTAATTATATGAAATTTCAATTTTTCTGTATCAGTAAGTTCCCGCTGCAGAACTGAGAAACACACGAGAAAAGTTGCACACACACAACATGAGGTCTGATAGGTGAATTTGTATCCTATTAGTGAAAGAAATTTAGATTTATATTTGGTTCCCTTGATAATATATATGCAGTCTATACATGCTAGTATAATAATATTATGCAATGAAAATGTGTCACCATGTGAAATACCAGTACATCATGAGTTCCTAAATAGACGTATTTTTTTTAAATAATTGACCCAAACATGATGTAAAAAGTACATGCACCTTTGGTCTGCATCCTTTATCAGTTTAACTATTTTGATCCATATTGACATGATTGGTCAATTACTGCTGAGTCTCAAGTCTCAGATTACTGTCTTAAAAATTAATGAATTGCCTATGCTATAAACTTGACAAAGATTATTTCTTTTTATTTATAATATATTCTTTATTGTAGGAATACCCCCAGAAAGAAATCACGCATTAGAAGAAGGGAGAAGTACTACAGGAGAAAATGACTTTTTTAGTATTTTTTTTAATTTCATTGAATTTGTCATGCTTGTCTTACATGGAGAAATAAATATTTAAGTCTTTGAATATACATTTTTATTATTATATACATTAAAACTAAGACAGGAATGCAGAAATTCACTAACACGCTCAGTTTGGATAACAGTTCAATGAAAGAAAAAAATCAAGTAACCACACATCTTTATATATTAAAGGAATAGCCACTTGAAGCAAACTTTATTTATATATTTTTGCTAATGATCATCAGACAACTCCTTTAGTCCAAATGAAGTTCAATGAAGTGGATGTAAGTTATTGGAATGCACCGTAATTACCTTCGACAATGAGAAAACCTATACCGTGCAGTCAGCTTCAAAAGTCCCCGACATGGAAAATATATAACAATTCACTAGAGAAAACGAAGTGTCTACAATAACAAAGCAATTTACGAAAATTCAAATATGACGGACATGAACCAACAGCAACCACTGAATTACAGGCTCCTGACTTGAGACGGGCACATAAAGAATGTGACAATGTTAAATATGCTATCATATTTAACATTCTTGTTTAGATCTGACATTGCTACGTATTTATACATTCCACATTATTTTTGGCTTCTCAGAATTTTCACATGGTAAACTGTCAGCAGTTACTCAACAAAAAAATGTTATAGGGAACCTATTTACAAAGCATCATGCCGACAACAATTAACATGGTTTGTCACCAAACATTGAACAAGCACATTTATATTTGCTGTGGCTAAAAAAACTAAAGCAAATCACAACTCTTTTCATCTGAGTTGCTCAATTATTAGGGTTACAAAAAGCATAGCGATATAACTAAAACATACGACACTTTAACAATAGACAATATTCAAATTTTCAAAAACTTTACGGCTCTGTATTGAAGCACAAAATTTCTTGTCTGGGA